AAGGGGGGAGGGGAGACAGAAGAGACAACCATGAGAAATGGAAGCAATGGGTAGTGGAGACAAAAGGGAGATGGAGGTAATAAACTGGAGGAGACAGAGGAAAGATGAAGACAATGGACGGTGGAGACAGTGGTTGGAAGGAAAAAGAAAAGAAGAAAGATAAAGTCAATAGATGGCAGAAACAAAGGGAAGACAAAGGTAACAAACTGAAAGAGGCATAAGGAAGATGGAGGAGACTGGAGTGAAGGAGCTAACAGTGATGAAAAAAGAAGGGTTACAGAGACAGCTGGGGTTTTTAAAGAGGAAGAGTCTCCTCTATTCATTCTCGGAGAGACCAGAGTGTTTGGGGAAGAGGTGGGGAAGGGTGGGTCCCCAGGAACCATACTCACAATTTCCCACATGGACTGAGAGGGCATACAGGAGTCACAGTGTACCAAGGACTCTGTAGACTGGGGAAAGGTGTTGGGGACACTGTAGCTGAAACACTGTCCCAGGCAGGCCCTACGGGGAAACAGATGGTAAGGAGGGGAGGGAAAAGGCACAGCAGAGGAGAGACAAATAAACTCAGTCACTGCCCTTCATCCAACTTTTCTCAGATCTACAGCTCATTTTCTAGTGGGAGTCATGAGAGGCAAAGAGAGGTGGCCAGGTAAGGAACCAGGCTGTGCCAGTCCCCAGCTCTGCCTAAGGAGAATCCTAACCCTCCCTCCTCCTGGACCTTCTTCCCTCCCCAAGTATCCTCTCTCCTGATTGTTTCCCCTCCCTCAGTTCCCCCCTTCTTACCACTCCCACCTCCTCCCATCTCTCCCAATACTCTCTCTTCTTCACTCTAGCTCCTACCTGTTCTGGATGGATTTTGATTTACAGCCACTATGCCCCACGATCTGGGTGATGTTCTTGGCCTCACACCAGGCACTCTTGTCTGGGAACAGTGCCAGTTTGTTGATTGGAGGAGGGGCAGCCAACAGCACCACAGGGAGGAGGGCACCCACCAGGACCCACAGCATCATGCCCAACACCACCAGAGCCCTGTAATTGAGCCCAGAACCCAGAGATGAGATCCTGCTGTCAGTCCAGTAGATATGGCCCTCCCCAGTTGGGAACAGGGATCCGTGCTTTGATAAAATGACTGCAGCAGCTGGTGGAGGATGGATTGGAGAAGACAGAGGAACAAAGCATAGAGGACCATTTAGACTGCTACCGCAATAATCCAGGTGAGAGGTCAGGAGGGTGCACACTAGGGGAGTGGTTGTGTGAATGGAAAAAAAGGGAAAAGAGAGAGATGGTGTAGAGGGAGAATTCATAAGAACTGGCATTGGATTGCATATGGCAGGTGAAGAGGAAGAAGTCAAAGATTACACCCAATGACCCTGAGTGACTGGAAGGATGCCACTGAACATCCAGATGGAAAAGGCAGCTGGTGATGTGGGCCTGGAGCTCAGGGAAGAAAGGAAGGCTGGATTTAGAGATGTGATAATTAAATCTGTGGGAGCTGATGGAGTCAACAAGAGAGTGTAGAGAGAAGAGAGAAGAGGACTCAGGGAAGAGCCTTGAAGGACATCCGTAGTTGGGAGAAGGGTGGATATAGATGATGATTCATCAAAGGAGACTGAGAAGGAGCAGTCTTTGCACTGGCCATCCCCCAGGGTTAGAATTTACTCCCCTCCTCATTGCAACCTCTTGGAATCTCTAGTGTCTTCTCTAATGCCATCTTCTACATGAGATCTTCCAGGATCCCACCCCCAGCTACTAATGCCTACCAGTTGCAAAAATACCTTGTATTTGATTGTATTTTGTATTTACTTATATGCATATATATTGTTTCCCCAAACAGAATGTAAGCTCCTTGAGGGCAGGAACTATTTCATTCCTCTCTAGGAAGACCCACCACCACCAGGGGCTATCTCTCTCTTTCCCTTCAGTTCAAGCCTTACCCAGGACTCCAGGCCACCCAGATCCCATCCAGGCAATTTGTTCATATCAACCATGAGAGATAGAACTTACCAACTTGATTTCTTCCAGAAACAGAAGATCACCAGGCTTGACTATCTGCCATGACTCTATGTCCTCTGGATTCCCAGGCACTGTCATCTAACCTCCTGATGCAATCTAAAGATCCCTGGGCCCTGATATGCAACCCAATGTTGAATCTTGGGGACTTCTGGGCCTTTCCATCTGCCCTGCAGCTTAACTCAATTCTATGTGTCATTTCCCCCAAGCAGAGTGTAAGGTGCTTGAGAGCTGGGACTGTCTCACTTTTTGTATTTGTATCCAGTTTTTGCACAAGTAAACACTTAATAAATGATTTTTTATTCATTCTTTTGTATCTCCATTGTCTAGTATTGGTAAACATTTAATAAATGCTTTTTGATTGATTTATTAATTACAAGGGAGAATTCTAGTAGGGAGGGAGTCACTGGGAAATAACTAATGTTTTAAAAAGAGAATATACATCTCCAAAGGCTTCATGATGGAAAATGCTATCCACATCCAAAGAAAGAACCATGGAGTTTGAATACAGATCAAAACATACTATTTGCTATTTTTTTTTCTTCTGTTGTGTTTTGTTTCCTCTTTCAGGTGGTTCCTCCTATTGGTTCTAATTCTTCCTTACAACATGACTAATGTGAAAATATGTTTAATAGCAATGTATATGTATAGCCTATATCAGATTGTATACTGTCTTGGGAAGGGAGGGGGGAGGGAGGGGGAGAAAAATTTAAAACTCAAAAGCTAATGGAAGTGATTGTTGATAAATCAAAATAGATTAATTAAAAAAGAGAGAACATCAATAAAACATGTTTTTAAATGCCATTCCCTTCCACTTACTACCTGTGCGACTCTGGGCAAGTCACCCCCTCTCTTAGGTGTTTAGTTTCCTCATCCATAAAGACAAGAGATTGGATTAGGTGCCTCTCAGATCCCTTCCAGCTCTAAATTTCATGACCCTCAAGAGTCCCTTCACAGAATGACAGCACTTTAGAGTCAGAAGAAACCACAATGATAATATAGCACAACCTGTACTCAGAAATGAATTCCCTCAAATACTGGAAAGCAATATGGCAGAAATTGGGTTTAAACTAACACCTTATACCACACTCCACAAGACATTCTAAATGCGTATGCAATCTTAATATTACAGATCAGATTATAAAAAAATTAGAAGGGAAGCAAATTACATACCTCCCACAGCTATGGTTAGGAGATATATATTTTAACCAAACAAGAGATAGAGGTAATTTCAAAAGATAAAATAGTTAGCTTTGATTACATGAAATGGAAAAGTTTCTGCACAGACAAAATTAATGCATCTGGGATAAGAAGGGAAGTGGCTAAATGGAAAAAAAAATCTTCGTATCAAATTTTCTTATAAAGGCTTGGTATCCATGATACAGAAACAATGAACAGATACAGACAGATAGACAATCAAGTTATTAACTATAATTAATAGATCAAAAGACATTTGTTAAATATTTTGGATTTGTATATATATACATACATGCATAAAGGATGGATTAAAGATACATATATATTGAAAATAATTAAATGCTTTTTGAGATATATATGTGTGTGTGTGTATACATGTGTATGTGTAGATATGTATAAGTGTACATATACACACACACACGCGTGCATGCACACAAATACACACACACACATATATATATATATATATATAACCCAAAGTCATTCCCAATAGGCAAGTGCTCAAAGAAGATGAATAGACAATTCTCAAAAGAGGAATCACAAACTATTAACAACCTAAAAGAACGCTCTAAATCCCTAATAAGAGAAATGCAGATCAAAACAGCCCTGAGGTTTCATCTCACACTCTGTAAACTGGCAAAGATGACAGCACATGGCATGTTGGAGGGGTTGTGGGAGGATGATCCCACTGGTGCATTGCTGCTGGTCCTGTGAATTGGCACAATTGGGAAAGCAATCTGGAATCACTCAAAAAAAGTGATTAAAATGTCCACACTCTTTGACCCAGAGATTCCATTACTGGGCTTAGACTCCAAGGCGGTCACTGATAAAAAGAAAGTCCCCATGTACACCAAAATATTTATAGCAGCACTTTTTATGATAGCAAAGAATTGGAAACAAAGTAGATGCTCATTGATTGGGGAACGGCTAAACAAATGGTGGTACAAGAATGTAATGGAATATTACTGTGCTGTAAAAAATGATGCATGTGATGAATACAGAAAAGAATAGGAAGATCTACATGAACTGATGCAAAATAAAGTAAGAACCAAGAAAATAATATACACATAGACTATAATAATGTAAATGGAAAAGACAACCACACACACACACATACATGCATAGACACTAAAAAGTTAATGTTGTAAAATGATAAAGAGCAAGGATGGTCCAAAAAAAGAGACATGAAAAGATGCTCCTGCCACACCACCCCTTGGCAGAAGTGAGAGGTCCACAAGTGTTTCATGTTGCACATATTTCACACTTCTTCAGTTGGTCAGTTATGCTGTTTCTTCTTTTTCTTTTTTTTTTCTTGTCCTTAAAAAATAGTACTTCTTATAAGGGATGGCTCTCAGGGAGGGAGACAGAAGAGTACTGGGGAAAATTATGGTGATGTAAAAAAATAAAAGGCATCAATACAAACTTATTTTAAAAAAAAGATCATCACATGACAAGTGGCCATCTGGACTTTGCTTTTAAGGTCTCCATTGAGGGGGAGCCCACTCCCCATTCCACTTTTGGGAAGCTCTGGTTGTTAGGCAGGATTTTTTTTATATCAAGCCTAAATTGACTTCTTCACAACATTGAACCTAATGTTCCTGGAATTGCCCACTGTTTCCAAAGAGAACAAGTCTAATCCCTTTTCCATGAGATAACCCTTCAAATACTTGAACACAGCTTTCCTGCTAACTTCTCTTCTCCAATCTAAACAATCCCCAATTCCTTGAATATGGAAAACACTCAAGGCCCTTCATCATCCTGATTATTTTCCTATGAATTCTCTCCAACTTACCAGTGTCCTTTCTAAAAAGTGGTGTCCAAAACTGAACACAGCACTCCAGATCTTGGACCAAGGCAGAGCAGAGCAGGACCGTCCCCTCCTGATTCCTGACAGCCATGCCTCTCTTAATGCAGTTCAAAAATCACATTTTTTAATACCCTCTCATACTATTGATTCACATCCAGCTTACAGTCCACTAAAATCCCCAAATCTTTTTCAGAAAAACTGCTGTTTATTCATGCCTTCCACCACCAAATACTTAGGAAGTTAATTTCTTGAACCCATGTAACACTTTACATTTACCTCTATTGCACTGCATTTCATTAGATTCAGCTCAGCTTTCTAGCCTAGCAAGTCCTTTTGGGATGCTGACTGTCACACAGTGTGTTAGCCATCTCTTCCAGCTCTGTGTCATCTGCAAATTGGATTAATAGACCATCGACGCCTTTATATAAGTCATTGATAAAAATATGAAACAGTACAGGCTCAAGTCCAGCAGAAAGCTGGACCAGGGCCTACCCAGCAGTATCAACTAAGGATATCATTCGCCTGTTTTACAAAATCAGAAACCAAGAAAGGCCTGGGTAAAGGGCCTTCATAGGAGTTGAAATCACACAGCTGGAAGGGAGCACTCAGACCACACAGAATGTTAGAACTGAAGGGCAGCTTAGCCAATCCCTTTATTTTTCAGAGAAGGAAACTGAGGCCCAGATATGGGAAGTGACTTGCCCAAGATGACACAGGGGTGTTCATAGCACAACCAGCAATTCCCAGATTTCCAGACTCCAAGCCCAGTGCCCTTTCCAGGGCCTCATGCTAGTGAGGTCACAGAGCTCATCCCCCTCTCAGCTTCTGGACAGAATTATTCCTGAACCCCTCCATCAAGGCCCCATTGTTATGGTGGGGAGGGGACCTTGGGCATGGCAATGAAGCAAAAGCCCTGGCAGGTCTGTCAGAACTGGGGATGACCTGTGTATCTAGTATCCCAGGGCCAGACTAGTTAAGCTTGAAAAGACTCAATGCCAGAAAGCTGGCCACCAGG